TACACATTTTGTCATGTTACAACAATAAATCTAAATGTTTTTTTTGTCTTTTTATTACAGACCAACACAAAGTACCATAACTGCGCTGGACCATTCTGTTAAAATTCCTTATACCACCATTTAATTAAGTCAATAAAGTAGTCTTTCAATTTTACTTAATAACAAATTATAAATATTGATTAATAAGACAATATAATCATTTACATTATTATGCAATTAGTCTATTCTGATACTGGTTAAGTTCAATTTGCATATTTATTTAGTAGCTAATTAAATTGTGCAAAGCAACTCAACTTCTTTTTTTTTTTTTTTTTCAAAAAGCTTGGCTACATGGAAAAGTCAGGGCTGTCATTAATAACAGAAACATTTGCTGACTTTTATAAGCTACGTAGCAGGAGGTTGTCAGCTTTTATTGTTTCCTGTGTTGAATTAAAGGGAATGCTTGCATTATCTGCCTCTCCCTGTGGGTGTAATGATACATAACAGCTGTGTCTTTTATCTAAAACACTGTTAAAGTTAATATTTTGCCGGGCAGGCAGGGAGGGGCAGACTTCTCCTGGCTGTGATCTGAATAAAGGGAGCTCGCACAGCTCTGTGGTTGCTTTGAAATACAGGCAATATCATTCAGAGATATTTTACTTTGGTTCTCAAAATGCCAAAAGACAAACTGCATTTAAAGCACAATCCTTTTCTTCTGAGAGGGATTTTCCTTCAGGAGTAGTATATTATTTGTCTAGAAGATATACAACCTCCATATTTGTTCTTGTATATCCGATAAAAAGGGATAAAGTCTCAGAGTTGGCAGAAACCAACTCTGCAAATGAACTCAAAATGTTAGTTAAGTCATTTTAGTTGTGTTACTTCTGATTTATCTAAAAAAATATTGCCAAACACATTTTCTATTAAAGCAGTTAAATCATGTCAACCTCAACAATTTCCTTCTAGAATATAAAACAAGAAAGCTTTAGGAGTACAGAGCTTAAAAATGTTTATAGAAACCATCTGCTTTGTTTCCACACTTTAATGTTTAGGATCAAACAAACATTTATATGAAACATATACCAAAGGACAACATAAGGTAGCCTTTTTGAGTAATTATCTAATCGGATGAAGGGGAAAAGCAAATCCTCTCCCCAAATTCTACAATAAGCCCTTAAATGTGATTAACAAATATGTCATAACACAACTGATTATTCCCCTATACTGTGAAATTAAGAGTATTAAAGGCTCTACAGGGACACTTTTTTAAGACATCTGTGACTCCAGTGAAACACAGTAAAAGCCATTGTTCACAAATGTAGAAAATATGGAACAATGGTGGACTGGCTGCCTACCAAAACTACTCCAGGAGATCATTGACAACTCACCCAGGAGGTCACAAATGTAATCGAAAACAGCACAAACCTATCTTGCCTTAATTATGAGTGGTTCAGTGTTGAATAGTAAAAATTAGAATTCCCCTTCTGGGAGAGTTCTAAGGCCAAAACCCGATAACCGAAAAGCCCAATATCACAGTAACCAAAAGCATCTTTATTTTCCCCAAGATTTAGAAATTTAAGAAAAAAGAACCTCATATACACAGTCAAACGTGATAGTCTGCACTTCTCTTTTGTATTTACGTTATCTTAATTTTCAATTTAGAGATCTGAGAAGAAAGAAAACAAAAAAAAAAAGCTGACCAGAACACAGGGAACAAAAAAGGGCTTTATAGGGCAGTTAAAAATATTCCTATTACAAGATTCACATCCATTCAGAATTGAATAGGGAATATACTGGGTTCAATTTATAGATTCATCAAGAACTTTTTCAAGGTAACTGAGGCAAATGGTTAAAAAGTTGTAAAAGGTCATTTCAAAGGTCTGTATGGTTATTACCCTCTAAATTCAAATGGTCTAAATTAGCATAATGTAGCTCTTAATTAAACTGAACATACAGGAAACCATTCTGTGAGGTGTATAAAGCATTTACCATCTGGACCTCAAACATTTTGTCTTTTAAGTCGAAATAAGTGCTTAATATTATTGTTTTTAAGGAATAGAAACCTTAACAAAATCGTGTCAATGTACTTTTAATACATCTTTAGCATATTTTACTTAAATTTTCAGACATGCTTACAAACACAAACCCTAAAAGATGATGTAAAAGTGAATATTCTCAACGTAAAAGCACCAAGGGAGACTTTGAAGCAGGAGCGGAATGAAATAATTTTCACCCAAATGATTTATCTGCATATTTTACCTGAGCAGCCCACTTCATAAATATTGCATTATCGTGCAAAATGAATATTGATCCAACATATTTCCACTTCTGAATGTTTTTGCAACAGAGCATAGACCTCAAATAAAGGCTTTTATTCAAATACATTTAAATGGCTTAAAAAAAGGTTGTTCAAGGTAAGCAAGTCAAGATATTTTCCCCCAAATCACACAGTATAGAAACTGCCGTTGTGGTTGATTTCAAAGAGAAATTCACTCCGAATGAATGATTTAGTGTCTTGGTGTTAAGGTGTATTTTACTGTGACTTTGAACTGAAGTGTTTTAAAATGCTCTTTATAGTCACCATCCGTCATGTGAGCAGCTCTGCTTTAGCTAATAATGGTTTGTCTCCATGATTTGTTGCTGCTCATTGGTATTGATGCATCAGCCCAGTGACTTATAGAAAGAATATATTTTCAATAGTCCCAGTGTTAAACATTTAAAACACAAAATGAGCATGGGCAGAGTAAAACAAAGGTTGATTTAGCTTTATTTAAAAGATGACCAAGAGGTCTCTTTGAATCCTGATAGCTAAATAAATATACGATTAAATCCAGTCCACACTCTAATTCATCCCAAAAGATGTTCCATCTTTAGGAAGCTGGGCCTCTGCAGGACACTCAAGCTCTTCCAAATTTTACTGGCTCATTTATGTCTTTATGGACCTTGCTTCTAATACATCATGAACAAACTGCTTCAACCGAATCAGCAGCATACAATTGTTCAAAATGTCTTACTACTCAGAAGCACTGGAAGTTCCTTTCACTGGATCTTAGGGGTTGGAATCCATTTCTGAAAGACAGCTCCACCCCATAATCCCCTCTGCAACAAACTTTATACTTGAAATAATGCAGCAAGTCAAGCGCTTTTCTACTGATAACTGCCAAACTGCCAAACCCCGGCTCATTTACTGGAAATGAATGATTGGTCACCCCAGAGAACAGGTCTCTAGGGCTCTGGACTTCACTGATGTGGTCAGCAAATCATTTCAACTCAGTCAGCTTTCTGTCATTTCGACTTTAGCAAATTACTTTTACAAGAGCTTATAGATTAATAGTTTAAAGTAAAATATATTTTCTACTTTTATGTATGAACTCAGAGGTGAAAACTAAATATAATAACCTTATTATTGTGTATGTGTGTTGTAAATAAAACTCGTATTTTATATGACAAGTTTTAATATTGGTTATTATTTTCAGTGTAGCAAAACAAATTCACTCTCTAGAAGCAAAGGCCATAATTAACTGCTGGTTATAAATGGCTTAGGCTGTTGTCCCTTTTTTAAAGTATTTAGAGTAAACAAATAATAGACACCACATCTATCCATTTTAATATGGAGCAAATGGGTCTTATTGTACCACGCTATTTGGTATGTCAATTTTTTACTTTATTTTCTTTCACTATAGAATTAAATTACCCGCTTAAGGTGTGTTTCTAATTACAACTAAATACAAAATTGAATGTAACCAAAACATGTAAAACAAAATTCATCCTAGCTGTACAAGCACTGTGGAAAACATAACCAGTGTTTACGTGAGTGACATGAATTCTATGTTAGCCTGTTAAGATAATCTGACTTTCAAAGCTGGGAATCTGTCTGCTAGGAAGGTTCTGATTAAAATCTGACTTGGATCTCTGAGACTTCTGAATCCATACAAGTAAAACTAAAAAAAAAAAAACATTAGTAGTAGCAGATATACGCTATTTATGCGTTGCACGGTCGAATATACACTAACTAAAGGGATATTAATTCGGCTTGTGTGACTGTGTTACCCTACATTACTAAGGGCCATCAGCTAATAAATTAAATGGACACTGTTCCACAAGATCAATAAGCAGCATAAGCTGAATCCAGGAACATGATATATAATTTAGTGGTTCTCCTCATGGCTGTACAAAGTGGGCTACACACTACGCTCATAAGCTCATGGTCGTGAGTGAAGGCATCAGATAAATATTTGAAAAGATATGGGTTCATGTGAAGAGTATTTCCAACCTGCAGCAGCTGTGTGAGATGGCCTAATGCTGCAAAGTCTTAGACAGGAAAATGCTTTACCTATCCATCAATACAATCCAGTGGGAGTGTGTCACCAAATAGATTGTGTCTCATATGTAAAAATCCATTCATTCATCCATTTTCCATCATGCTTTTTCCCAGCTGGGGTCGGGAGGGATTTTGGTGCCTATCTCCATATGGGAAAAAAAAGGCTTTTATATATGAATCATGTAAAAAGGCCTAATACTTGTGTCAGTTTTTAGAGTCGTTCCTCCTTAGAAAATCACACAAACCTGAACCTTACTGCAATGATTTGAAGCATTTTTAAACAAGCAGGTGAATAAGCAGCATGCAATTTCATTGACAAACCATAATTACCAAGAGCAGAGCTGGCTTATTTTCAGGGTAGATGTGAAAGTGCAGCCATGACGGTGAACATGCAAATCAATTTCCATCTATACACAGAATGTCATTTGTCTCTCTTGTCTTCATCTAAACGCTGCACCATGGTTGTGAATATAGATCTCTGTGTAATCAGTCATCACACAGCCTGACGCATGTTCCCCATGTTTTTTTTCATGGAGAAGA